GGCAACTTTCCGAATAAAGCACAACCTTCAACTCTTCATTCCCCAGCTCAAACTCCTTCCATGGCTCCCCATGCCCTCAATGAGATGTTCAAAATTGTTAACTTGTCCTTGAAGCTCCTCCAATGATCTAGCCCCGACTTCCCTTTTCAGTTGCATTTCTCAGCCCTCATGCCTCTAAACACATGCATTCTATGGTCCAGTTCTGCGTATTCTCACCTGCAGCCCATGCACAGGGCACACCCCTCTTAGGACACTCTCCTCCTCGCCATCACTGGCCTCCCCCTCATGCTTCTAGTGATCCTTAAGTACTCAGTTCAGACATCACCATCTTCCAGAAACCTTCACTGATGCCCCTCCCTACAAGGCTGGGTTCTCACAGCACCCAACTCCCCTTATCATGCCACATATCACACTGTGTTATAACTGGCTCCTTGCCTTTTCAGCTCCTCCCAGGGGGACACAGACTGTCTTGTTCATTTCTGTATCATCCAACACCCAGCGTGCGGCTCACCCTGAATAGGTGCTCAAGAAATATTTTTTGAAATAATGAAAAAACAAATAGAGAATGCAAGTAGAGTTCCTAGCACAGTGACTAGCAGAAAAATGGTAGTGAATATCACATCACCATCATCATCATCATCATGGATCAGTACCACATGGAGCCATATTTCTCTAATGGAAACCCAATTCAAAATTCAGGTCCTGTCAACAGTGGGGTGAAACAATGCGACAGCCCCAGTATCTGAAGAGATGGTTGTATAAGCCCCCCAACCCGACCTACCTCCCGCCCCAGGGATGCTGATCTGTTCTTGCCTGATCCCTGGTGCTCACCCTGACTCCGACCTCTTTGCACGCCCCCACCCCATGCAGGAAAGGAATAGCCGCCTCACCCACCACTTGACCTCTGGCCACAGAGCCAGTGATTGCTCCTTTCTCCAGAGGAGCCCCCCTAACAGGCTGCCCACTCCCCTGGGCTAATCAGGGGAGATGACCCCTAAGGTATGTAGCCTCAGCTCCCCATGACATCATCGCCAGTCACCAAGCAGGAATGCGTCCAGAGCACTGGGAGGTTGGTGAGCTGTCCTCCCCCAGAGCGCCATTTGTCCTTCTCGCAAGGCACATGTCACTGGCTTCCTGAATTATCATGGCTCCTATCTGTGTTTTGTCTCCCCTATGGAACAATGCACTCTTTGAGCAAAGAGATCATGTATTAATAGTCCATTTCCCCCATAAGGCCTGATGTAAAGTAGAACCTCAATAATTGTTAAATTAATGAATATAGGAATGAAAAAATGAGTGTGTGTATGAGCATTCCCAGGCAGAACTGCCCGTTTTCCTCCATAAGAAGATGAGATTTGTCCTATTATTGAAGACATTCCTCCTGACCCTTAAGAGATTCCAGAAGCTAATAACTTTCAGAGTCAAGAGGATCATTTTTCCTTGTCTAACCCACATTTCTCTAGATGCAACTACAGTGCATTTTCTTCTAATCTACCTCCCTGGCCACTGGGGCTAAAACCCATTTCTTTGCAAGGAGACAGTTATTAATTCACCCTTTTAGCCTTTTCTTCAACAAATTTAATCCCAGACCCTCTATTGTTCCCTCCCTGGGGTCCTATCATCCAGCTCCTTCCCTGTTCCACTGCTCCTTGGGCCTTTTGCCAAGCTCTCAAAGGCCTCCTTCAGAGGCTGAGGCAGGAATGGGACGTATTGTTCTCCACGGAGCCACGTACAAACACACAGATGCCTACGCACACAGGACAAACACCTCTCTGCACCCATTATCCCCAATCCTTGGTAAACACGTACTCACAGGCAGCCTCCACACACAGCCATGGATTTATCTCCTCCCACCAGCACCCCGCTGAGCCCAAGTCCTGTGAATTCCCACACACCTGCACGCACACACTCACACACATATGAATAGGCGCACAGGGCTACCTTTTACCCTCAGGTGAGCCAAACTAGGCGGAGCGTCTGAAGCCATCTTACCTCTCTCTCCTCCTCTTACTCCTCTCTGCCTCCCTTCCCCAACTCTCCTCTCCATTGGCCGCTTCGGGCCAAGCCCACTTTCCCTCCACCTCCACGGTGATTTTCCACTTCAAGGCTGAAGGCAAGGACTAAATGAACCAAAGTTAGCTCCTACCTCTTCCTTTTGCCCTCCTCCCATTCTTTTTTCCCCACTTGCCCAGAGCACACACACCGCCCTCTATCCCCAACCTCCACTCCTCTGGCTGTAAGGGGTGCAGCTTCTTGGATTTTTATCTTTTGGAAATGAACAATCAGGAAGCACTGGAAGCTGGGTTCCATCTCAGATCCGAGGACAGGCTGGGTTGCCAGGCCCCTGGGCTGGCCAGGCACTGTGTCACCAGGCCAGGGGATGCATGAGGGTGGTGTGACGCTTATTGATTCATTCAACAAATATTTATCCAGCACCTACATCAGGCCAACCACTACTCTACGTGAACAAAACCAACCAAACGCCTGCCTTTGTGTAGTGTGCATTCTATGGGTGAGGACAGAAAATAAATAAAATATACTGGGTGATAAAAGAAAGCAGGAAAGGAGGATGGGGTGCAGGCTGAGGGTGGAGTGCCCAATTTAAAATATGGTGGTCAGGGAAGGTGGCATGTGAATGAAGGCCTGAAGGAGATAAAGGTGAGACCTGGAAGGAGATTGTTCCAGGCAGCAGGAACAGTCCTGCAAGTGCAGAGTGTCACAAAACACCAGCGTAGAGAGCCACGGAGACCAGGATGCTAGGAGATAACGAGAAAAGGGGGTGCCGTGCAGAGGAGCTTTTCCTCCTAGCCCCATTCTGGGCTCCAGGGCCTCAAGGGGGGTCAGGAGAGATGAGAGAGGCCAAATTAGGAATGAAACTGTGACCTCAGATGGGACAAAAAGCAAACCAACAGAAAACAAAGCAAAATATCGAGACGCCAGTGAGGGCCTTCCTTCCAGAAGGAAGGAGCTGAGCCTGCAGTGAGATGGGTTAAGGGGAAACGCTGGGATTCCTCACAAAGCTGCTGGATGAGGTGACAGGCACAGCCAGCAGGGAGGCGAGCCCCACGGCTGAGCACCTCTCAAAGCCAGTCAGTGTCTGCCTTGAAAATAAGCTATTCCAGGGAGGGGGGTAGGGCCACTCGAAGCATCTTTGACCACGTTCGACAGGGCAGTAGTAAAGGGTGGTGGCACTGCTGGGCACCGGGTCCCATCCCAGCCCAGCATGCACACAAACCCCACCTTTTATTCCCCACACTTCCTGTCCTGAGCACTTGCCGTGTGCTAGCATTCACTACGCAAAGTGCTTTCCACGTGTGTCTCATCTAATCCTCAAAGCAACCGCATGAGGAAAGAACTACCATCTTCAGTTTACCGATGAGGAGCACTCCCACCCCGCCCCTCTGTCCCCCAGTCCCTCGGCAGTTCCACTTCTCAGTGAGCCCAGCCAGGCTCATAGCCAGGTCTACTGGACTCCAATCCCTGCTCCTCTACTTAATTGCTGTGTGGCCTTGGGTAAGTGTCTTGCCCTTTCTGAGACCCAGTGTCCTCATGTGGGGACAAAATGGGGGAAATAATATGGTAATATCCACCTCCTGGGCTTTCGGGAGAATCTTCTGGGAGAAGGCAGTGGTTCTCCGTGTCAGCATTGCATTTCTCAGAGTCGTCAGGCCTGTGACCAATAATTAGTAGCTATAAATACATTAGGGAAGGTGACAAAGAGTTTGTTGTTTTAGGGTAAATATCAGTGAATTCAATGTTTTGTCTTCGGTGACATCACTCCCCTTCGCTGGCAGTCTACAAGCCTTCCTGAGCGGGAGATAAAGCGGTGGAGTGCCTGGCACCCCGGGGATTTGCACACAGGCTGCAGCCTATCTTATCTGTGCCCCAGCCTGTGGGAGTGCAGCGAACAAGCACATACCACCTCTCTGTGGGGTGGGGGAAGGCGGAGAGCCACGGAGCTGACAGCTGGCACGCCGCCGCCTGGCCCTCAGTAGGTGCTTCTTAGAAGGCGGAGCCTCAGGGAGGCAGGGGAGCGGTGGGGAAAGAAGAAAGCTCTCTGGTTACAAACCTGCATGGTCTGTTACCCCCAGGCACAGTGCCGTGACTTTCTCCTCCTAGGGAGAGATGCCCTAAAGTAGAAAGAAGAGAGGGACAATGGAGGCTAGGCCCCTGGGGTGGGCCCTAGTGTCAGACAAGCCCATGGCCCGTCAAATTCTCCCTAGGAAGACACAGGGTCTGGCCAGGAAGACTTGGGGTAAAGGTGACACCTAGGGGTTGCAAACTATGGGTGAGACATTCCTGCCTGGGCCGGGGCTGGGTACTGGAGACAACTTGACTCAAAGTTGATTATCTTGGTCCAGGGCAACGCACCTAGAAGGGGAGCTCTGCTGCTAGGCTCTCCCCAGCATGCAGCTCACAGGAGCTCCAGATGAGTCAGAGCTTCTTCCCTCCAGCCACCACCACCAACTCACTACTGCTCATTGCCCAGCTCTCCAGTCCCCCTCTCCGCTGCAGTGCCCACCCTCAGCCCCCGCTCGGGTCTGGCCAACTCCAAACAGACCACCTCGCCCCAAGCCTGCCTGAGGAGACTCCCACCTGGATTCGCTGCACTTGCCAGGACTCTGGGCTGTGCCAAGAGTGAGCCCCATCCCCCTGCAGTGGCTGAGAAGCTGTTCCGGCTGGAGGGGCAGACCCAGCCAGGAGCGCCAGGCGGGACTGCTGGATTCATTGGGTGCAGAGGGCCTCACCTCCCTGTGGACACTGCCCACATATTCTGCATTACGGTTCCCAGCCCAAGGGCAGCTGTGAGGTCCTGTCCCTTCTCAATCCCAACCCACCCTCCCCCGAACCAAATGAGAAAGGAGGGGGGAAGAAACTGAAGAGGGAGGTTAGCACTGCTGCCTTCCGTCTCTGCACTTTTCCCCGCTCCATTCCCTGCACTCGGTCCAGTATTCCTCCCTTCCCCACAGTGGGCACAGTGGCCCCCGACACAACCAGAGTCCATCCAGAAAAGACTGGGATCCTTTATTAAATCAGCAAACTCATATTCTTCCAGCCCTAGGCCATGGTGGGCAACCCTCCCTACTCTGTCCCCACACCCCCACCCTAGCCACAGCGAAGGGAATGGAATATAAGAAGCCACAAGGGCCTCTGCCAGGGAAGGCAGCCCCAGATGTGTGGTGAGCGCAGTCCAGCTGTGGCTGGGGTGGCAGCTGCCACAGGCTCCTCCCTATAAATTAAGTCCCTGCAGCCACAGCTGTGGAAGAGGCATACTTGCAGAAGGAAGGCCAGAAGGCAGCATCCCTGACTCCCAGCCAAGGAATGGATTGAGGGCACAGGGCTCAGGGGGAGGAGAGGCCAGAGGGAAAGAGGACAGGCATGGGGGCAGGGGGCGAGGTCCCCAGATTTTGGTCCCAGGGGAAAAGAAGAGGCCAGCTGGTCCAGTTTTGATGGGTGTGGGGGAGGGAATGTATTAGTAAGCACAGGGAAGAGGCCGCCATCGAGCACCCCAGAAGTGACAGGACAGGCTGGATCCTCACCCTGGCAGAGGGGAGCTTGAGAGCTCAGGGGTTCTCAGGGAATGTCGCTGCTAAAATATGTATACACATATATATTAACCATTCATGGGAAGGCAGGGGCAGAGGTGGGATCAGAGGATCTGGCGTGGCATCCCATAGCCGGTCATGCCTGCCTGAGACGCCCCGCGGTTGGTGCCCATCTGTAACCCGATCACATTCTTGCCCTCTTGCAGCTGGTTGTCTGAGAAGTTCCGAGGGTTCTCCTTGGATTTCCTGGGTGGGAAGGGAGTGCTGATTAGGAGAAAGTCAGAGGATGCCCCAGTAAATCCCATCTGCAGACAGAGCACAGACTTTGCTGTGGCCCAAGGGCTGGTGCCAGCTCTGCCCGTGAGCTCCCTGAAGCCACCTCCTCATCTGTCCAAAGGGACAGTCACTTGCCACCCCAGGGAGAGCTGTGAAGATTAAGTGGGACAAGGAACGTGAAAATGCTTTGTAAAGGGCTGGCTGCTACCGAGATGATGTTAGTTATTTCCTAGGGACGGGAATGGGCGGGAGCAGTGTGCGTGCTGGCTCCAGCACCTATCCCAGCAATACTTACTTAGGGAACCAGTTGGGATCCCCAGAGAAGAGCCCATCGTCCCGGGCTACCGCCAGCCCACCCAGGTTCATCAGGGTCCGCTGCACACAGGCCATGTTCTTTCCTGGGAAGGAGAATGGGAATGTATTGGCCTCAGCAGGGCTGGGGTCCCAGATGCCAGGGTTCTACTTCTATCACTACATCAGCACGCCCAGTTTCCTAATTCCTTTTACTCTTCGTCCCCATCCCCTTCATCCCAGCCCCTAACATGGCCCATTCCTCTGTGAAACACACACATCCCTCTTGCCATCAGGGAGCCAGAAACTGGTCCCTTCTCCCTGGTCAAGACAGCCCAGCCCAACCTCTGGTCTCCTGGACAACCGGCCCTAGACCCTGGCCCTGTCCCACCTTCCCAGAGGTCCACAGTTTGGAAGATGTCAGTGGTGTTAATGCCGTAGCGCTCAGCTGCTTGCAGGAATTGAGAGATCTGCTCCATCTGCTTGAAGGCCATGGTGGAGGCCTGGATCTTCTTTACTGGGGCCTGCCCCTCGGGGTACAGTCCGTTAATGAGCTCACACAGCACCTGGGTGAGGACGGCAGGTGTGCAGAGGTGAGGATGTGTTTAGCGCAGATCAGCGTGCACCACTCTCAGCACCAGAGACAGCGAACCAAAAGAGGTTTCTCTCCTGCCTGAACACAGCTTGGACTCCTTCAGCTGGAGTGAGCCTCAGCGGTCCTTGCACAGCCCCCTGCCCCTGAGCCCAGAGTGAAAGGCCAGTCTTTAGTCTTTCCTTGCTATTCCAATATTGCTGTCCAGAGTATCCCTCCCACAGTTCTTTCCTTGGTGTCACCTAGCCTTCCGCCGCAGAGGAGGCACATTCACCTTTACCCTTCACTCAGCGGGAAGGGAGGAAAGCTTGGGCCCCCTCCTAGGCTCAATAAAGATATTCAGGCTGAGGAAGAAGTTGGGACTGGTGTGCCTGCAGTCTTCCCTTCTTCAAGTTACACAATCCCCAGTCCCCCGGACCCAGTCCTGCTCTCCCTGCACTTCCAAGCCACTGGGGGCCCGGCTCTCACTGTGCCATCTTTGAGCCAGTTCTGGAAGTTCTCACGCCCAGGCTGGGGCCGGCCCACATCTTTGCGGCACTGGGTGGTGATCCACTGGATCAGGATCTGCTCCAGGTCTGCATCGTACTGTTTCTCAATCTTCTGCTGCACCTCCCGGCTCAGGCCATACGCGGGTCCCCTGTTGGCCATTCCAAAGGGCAGTAGTAGCTGTGGGGAGCTGGGGAGAGGACATGCCCAGACCTTCGATCAACACCCTGCAGCTTGTGGGGTGGGGAGTTCTGCCTGTGGGGACCCACACCATATCCCCCATGGTGGGCCCTAAGGATGAGGACCAGATCTGCTGCCAAATGAGGGAAATCTTGCCTTGATCCCTGGACATGGGCTGGAGTAGCACTACTCAGAGCTCTGGGAGGTGGCGTGGGGCCACACAGGCTGTCTCTGGATTCTCCCATCGCTATGACAAGCAGTCTGTTTATTATATGAGGCTCCCCTTTAGATTTCATTTGAATAAATGGTTCTACCAATAGAATGAAGTATAAAATAAAATTCCACTGGAATAGAATATGGGGTAAATGAGGCCAAGACCAGGGGTTTAGCTCCTCCTTTGGGGTATCAGCTTTTAGCAAAGACAAACTGGTCATTCTAACCACCAACCCTGCTCTTTATGGCCCTGGGAAAGAGAAAGATTTGGGGAGAGGAGGAGGAATATGGAGCAGCTTGGGAAACCTATGCCAGCAGCTAGAGGACTGGTTGGATCTACCCTCAATCAACCACTGGGTTTTAATTGAGCACCTACTATTTGTGCTAGGGATTATGGGAGAGATACAAATCCTTGGTCCTAAAGTGCCCACGGTGCCATCAGGGAGACAAGGTGAGTACGTATGAATGGATAAGGATTGCACACAATGAGTACTAAGCTGCACAGTTCAGATCACATGCTGTAGGAATTAAAAGAGGACAGGCAGAAACAGCCTGGGAAGGCTTCCTGGAAGAGGTAGGGCTAAGTAGGCCCTTAACAGATTTCATTCAGCAAGCAAAAGGAATTTCCCATGAGAAACCAGGCAATGAAAACAAATTCTACTTTCCCTTCTAGGAGCTGTGGTAGGCAGGGTAATGGCCTCCCAAAGGTGTCCATGTCCTAATTCCCAGAACCTGTGGATACTTTCGTTACCTTACACAGCACAAAGGGACTTTGCATGTGATTAAGATCGTTGAGATGGGGAGATGATCCTGCATCATCCAGGTGGGCCCAAAGTAATCCCAAGCGTCCTTACTAACTGGAAGAAGGAGGCAGGTGAGTCAGAGTGGGAGAAGTAAGGAAGGAAGCAGAGGTCGAAGTCATGCAGGGCCATGAACCAAGCAATGCAGGTGGCCTCCAGAAACCACAAAAGGCAAGGAAATGGATTCCCCCTAGACCCCTCAGAAGGAATGCAGCCCTGCCAACACCTGGATTTTAGCCAGGGAGGCCCTTCGTGGGGTCTCTAGAACTGCAAGATACCATACTTGTGTTGCCTTACATCACTAAGTTTGTAGTACTTTGTAACAGCAGAAATAGGAAACTAATACAGGAGCCTTGAGTCATATTTTGGGGACACCTGAGAAGAGAGGGAAGGATGGGGAAATACACAGGAGAGTTTCTTTAACTCAGTTTGAAGGCCTGGGTTAGCAAGGACTGGATGGTTTCCTGACCACTGGCCTCAGTTGGCAGACCTCGCTGTGGGCAGGCTGTCACCACCCACCACCTCCCGTCTAGGACCCACACCCAGGGGCCTGCTGAGCAAATCCTGGGAATGCTACTGATGCCAAGGGGAGCCAGGAACAGAGAAGGGACACAGCCCCCCGTTTGCTGCCCCATCCCCTCCTTGGATGGGCTCTTCTCTCTACACTGAGTTAGAGCTACTGTCTGGTTGCTCACAAAAAATGGATCTCCCAGATAGACACCTGCGTTCAGGGAGAGGAAATTGAGCCACCTTGTCTCTCCACACACACCTGGCTCCAGGCCAGGTCAGACTTACAGGACGAAGTCACTCTGGCTCTTTCTCCCTCACACCCCAGGTTGAACAATCTCGCCACCTTCTCAGTGGGCCTCAGGGGTCTGCCCAAGTACAAGGGGCCAGGCAGCCTCAAATGCCCAGTGCGTCTCGGCCCCAGAGGCTGCATGTCTCGGGCCGGTGCCCCCGGCCCCTTCCAACATGGCTGCTCCTTTCTACTCCGGCTTATCAAGCTGCACATTTCCGGCAGACATCCTCCCCCAAATCAGTTATTTTTAACCCTCATCAGGAGCGACCCACCCCCACCCCCAACTTCCCTAGCCTGAAAGCCCGGCCAGATCATGTCAGTCTGGGCCCTGACCCACAGCGCCAGCTACACGCAGTCAGCTGGGGTAAGGCAGGCGGGCTGAGTGGCCTGAGGAGAAAGGGAGAGCAGCCTCCCTGCCCTGCCCAGCCCGGCCGCCACTCAGTCCATAGAACTATAACCTCTGATGCACAGGGGACCGGCTGGAAGACGTGGCAGGAAGAGAAAGGGCCACCATCACCAGTAAACCCCCTTTTTCCAGCGCAATTTCCAGACCTCTCTTCTAGGAGTGGCTTCACTATGGTCACCTGGGTTTCAGGACTATTTCCAAGGACCAAGTGGCTAGAAACACACTTGGCCCAGGGATCACTATGGCACAGGTAAAGAAAGTGCAGGAGAATTATTAACTTAAGACACCAGGGTTCCAAGAGGAGGGAAGGGCCGGATGCCAGAGCCTTCCAGTGTTCCCCTCACCCCCAGGGCAGGACAAACTTAGCCTCCCAGGCCCACCTCCGGGCAGAAGGTGGCTACTGAGGGCCCCTCCCCAACTCTGGGGCCTGGACACAGCTGGCAGGGTTGCACCTCCAGCTGCAGTGTATCTGCTCCACGCTGGGGCCATTGCCCTAGAACCCTGAGATGCCAGAGCCACAGGGCGGAGCTCTGGGGAGGGGTAAGCCCAGCCAGGCCCAGCCTGGCCAACAGCTGTCTCTCCTCCCCACCCCCACGGCCAGGCGGGAGCTGACAGGCTTCAGCTGCTGGAGCTGCAAAGGCCCACCCTCGTGACACCCAGGAACCTACCCCTGCCTTCACTCAAAGGAAGGGAGAATAGCCAGTCGCCTACCAGGGTGGGGAGAAGAGATACGCCTAGCTGGAAGACAGGTGTGGGAGATGCCCCAGAGCTGGGGACCCCAAGGGAAGGCAACAGCTGAACAACTTGGGGGGTGGGTTGGCAGTGAGCAACCTAAACTCTGGAGCTGACTACAGCTGTGGGAACAACCCTCATCTCCACTCTCAGGTTACAATAGTCAGGAATGGGGTAGGGGCCTCAACAGGCACTCCAGCTCTCAGCCCCACCCAGACCCTGGGCTGGAAGCTTACTCTACCCCACCCGAGGTCACCAAAGCCAAAGAAAAGGCGGACATGGGGCGGAGTCGAGGGATTTGACTGTTCTTGGCTGGGGTGTTTAATTGGGAAGACAAAGGGACTCTCCATTCACCGTGTGTGCAGATGGGACACAGGGGAACTTCCCAGCTCAGATTTGGGGCAGGGACTATTCCGAAAGAGCGCGATGGGGACACCAGCCCTCAAAGTGAGGTGCCACAGGAAGCAGGCAGAAGCAAGGATGGTGGGGATCCAGGGATAAGGAACCCCCCTGGGGCAGCCCGTCACCACCAAGAATCGTGAGGAGAAGAGAAAGCTGAGGCTGCACAAACAGGAAGCCACAAGGCTTGCGCAGGAGGAGGGGATGAGGTGGGGGCCGTTGCCATGGCCTCTGTGTACCAAACACAGGAATGGAGGCAGGGTGGGGGCACCAGGCAGAAACACCCGCTCAACACAGACGTTATGGGGAGGACACTCTGAGCCCAGGGGCAGCAGTAGGATCCTCAGAGCAGTTCTTGGGCATAGCCAGGTGCAAGGGATTCCTCCAGGAGGTAGCTACAGGGGTAGGGAGAGCATTTGGAGGAGATGGGAAAGGACCCGTTTTCGGGTAGAGAAGCAGACTCAAGGAAGTAGTAGTTCAGGAGACGAAATGCCCTAGGAAGGGAAGGTGTGTTCTGAGATGGAGAATCCATACCTGAGAATTCTGGAGGGAGAAGGGATGGAATGAAGAAAAGATTAGAGGCCACTCCCCAGGGGGCAGACGCTGTGGGGTGAGGGAGGGGATTTACAGTTGGACAAAGACTATTTGTTGGATCTGGAATGATAGGACCCTGCTGGCCCCGCCCTACCATGGCCTCTGCAGTTTTAGGTCTGACCTATGGGGTAGGAAGGAGAAATTAGGAGGGGGTTGGAGACTGGAGCTGTCCCTGTCTTGGTGCTTTGGAGTCAGAGAAGAGGGGCGTGCAAGCCACAGATCTCCTCCTACACCAGATCCCCACTCGACATCCCCACTTCCACCCCGTTTCTTTCTACCTCACAGGTACTAAGTGCCCCAGAACCTCCACAGTACGGGCTCCAGGAGGCCCCAAGAGACCCGCGGAGTGGGGGAAGGCGGCAGTCCACTTCCGGTCCTGCAGGTCCAGCCTCCACAGCCGCCGCCCCCACCCCCACGGCCACACCCTGGCCGTTAGTGCGGATGAGTCACCCACCGCCCGCCCGCCGCTGGGGTGACGCAGTGGTCTGGGCAGCCCGCCCGCCCGCCCGCGGCCACCACCGGCTTTCCCAGCAGCAGGGGGCACGGGGTGGGGCAGCGGGGCTCGGGCAGAAGTAGGAGAGCCTAGAAAGCAACCGATTTCTAGCCCCTCCCCACCCCCGGCAAACACACAGACAGGGCACCCCGGGACGCAGTCTAGGCTGCAGCCCCCAGGTGCCTGAGGTCCGGGGACTCCCCTGGAGACGACTGGAGTTTCACAGAAGGCGAGGCCACAGGAGGGCCGACGCATGGAGCCCCCTAGCCCCAGCCCGTGACCCTGCATCTCCGGAAAAGCGAACTGGCAGCAGAAGGAACAGACAGGGCGGCCTCGGGGACGCAGAGGTCATGCAGCGCCCACACGTGCACCCAGAACCAGGAAGTGAAGGGTCGCGCGGGAAGCCCCAGGAGCGCGGAGCCGGCCCAGAGCCGGCGCCAGGACCCAGTACGCGCCGTCACTCGGGCCAGCCAGCTAAAGTCCGACACCCTTTTTCCCTCGCCCCAGTGAGGACTCGTCGCTGGAGCCAGCGGGTGGAGCTCAGTCCCTGAGTCCCTGCTCCAGACGGACGCCCCGTCAATGCACCGGCAAACCTCGCCTGACCTCATCGTCCAACAATGCGCGGTCAGGACTTGGGGACCGGACCTGACAGAGCGGGGCGGGGCAGAGCAGGCATCGGACCCTTGCCTGGTGCCAGCCCTTGATCCCCAAGCTAGCTGGAGCAAGTCCCAAGTGCTGGCTTCTCGCTCTCTGCACACCATGCACGTCCCCCCTTGGTCCCTCCGTCCTGCTCACCGTTCAGGCGGGCTGCACACTCAAGGCAGGGTCTGCGGCGGCGAGTGGTGCACCCGGGCAGGGCCGGGGGTTTTCAGGAGGGTCCCGCCTCAGACGGGGCGGACCAGGGGCGGGGCGAGGGCCGAGAGGGTTTAAAGGCGCCGCAGCGGAGAAGGAGAAAGGAATGCTTAAGAGAGGGGCAGTGGACCAGAGGAAGAGTTAAGGAATCTGGGGAGTCTGGGCCTACAAAGGCAGCTGCAGTGGTCTCCACCCACGAGAACCTCGGTCTCCACCCAGGAGCCCATAGACTCCTGCCCGAGTAGGAAACTTTCTGCCTAGAAAGTTAGCCCAAGACTGTGAGAGTGTTTATGCGGGTGCGGGTGGAAGCCTCTTAGTTTAAAAGGGCTGGCAAACCAGGCTCGGTGGCTCATGCCTGTTATCCGAGCATTCTGGGAGGCCCAGGCGGGAGGATTGCTTGAGGCCAGCAGTTGGAGACCATCCTGAGCAAGAGTGAGACTCCGTCTCTACTAAAACTAGAAAAATTAGCCGAGCGTGGTGGTGCACGCCTGTAGTCCCAGCTACTTGGGAAGCTGAGGCAGGAGCATGGCTTAAGCCCAGGAGTTTAAGGTTACAGCGAACTGTGATGACGCCACTGCACTCTACCTAGGGCAATAGAGCAAGACAATGTCTCAAAAAAGGGGGAGGCTGGCAAAGTAAACGAAGGCATAGGAAGACACCCCTCCACCCCAACTGACTAGGGTGTGACAGGACTGGGGCTTGCAGGCCGGGACAGCACCCCCACGTGGTCTTGCTCACCACCTGCTTCAAGCCTAGGCAGGAACTAACAGTGAGATCACCCTTTGCCCAGGGCGTTGAGGGGCGTGGTCAGCGTTGGGACTCAAGGTTCGGACTTGACTTCTCTCTCCCTTTCATCTCATTTATGACCTGGCATCTTTTCTTAAGTCCTAGAGGGATCAGAGGGGGACGTCTCAGTGGAGGAGGAAGCTAGTGGGGGGTTCTGTCTCTGAGGGTGGAGGGCAGCATAGTTTTGCGGTTGAAGGAGCGCCTCCTACCCTTTCAAGCTTCAACTGAGCAGAGTCTCCCTGGGGTGGAGTCCTGACTGCAGCCATCAGTGGAGCATTTGCCATCTCCATTTATGACATGGTCCCTCGCAGAGTCTGATATTCAAGGACATCAACAACCAATTTTTCCATTCACTCTGTCCCCTTCCCAAGTCCTACCCCGCCCTATAATCTAGTCCTATCAAGTGTCAAGCATTTTCACTCCCCTGTGCCTTTACCAAGGCTATTCCACTGCCTGGGATGCCTTCCCTTCCTAAACAGCTTCTCACCTACTCTGACTTAACCCACTGACTTTGAGGCAGATTACTAAAGCACTCTATGCTTCAGTTCCCTAATCTACAAAACAGAACTAATAGTACTACCTAACTCATAGAACTGTAGAGAATTAAATAGTGCATGCATTAAGAGCTTAGAGCAGTGCCTGACACATACTGAATGCTATTATTATTACCACCTTCTTTGAGGATCCCTCATATGTACTATTTGTCCCAGCACATGCTGTAAGCATTCACTAAACATTCGTTGACTTGAGCTGAACTCCTTCCTTTGTGCTATCATAATAATCAACAGATAGCTTTATCACAGAACTTATCACATCATACTGTAACTATTTCTTTACTTGTCTGCCTCACTGCCTAGAAATAACTCCCCAAGGGCAAAGGCATGTCTTAATAAACTTTGTTCTCGGCGTAGCTGACCTCAGTAGGCACTTAATAAAGGCTTCTTGAATGAATGTTGAATGCGCCCCTATTCATTCAGGAAGAGCCCCCTTACATTCAGGAAGATCCCTCTCCTCTTTAAGTGCCCAGGGATTTTCCTACCTCTCTTCTTAGATTCAAAGCCAGATAACACAGAGAAACAAATTTTCAGATTTTCTTTATTCATCTGTAAAAAACTTCACCCACACCATAAACACCACACCCACACCCATACGTACACACACACACACACACACACACACAAACACACACACACACATACAAAGGGGCAGACCTAAGATCCCTGTTCCAATCCCCAGACTCACCTAAGGGGTCAGCACATACATCCCATACCAAGCTCAACAAGTCCACTATCAGGGTTTGTGCCTGGGCACCAAAGGGGCAGGGGCAGTGCCCTAGGTTGGAACTAGATCTTGTTGGGGGCCTTCTTTGCAGGTCCATATGCCTTTGCCCAGCCTCACACTAGGGGTGTTCACAGCAGAGTGGCCTGTTCAGGGTGAGGGACTGGCTGCCGATAGGCTGGTAGCCGAGCCCTAGTGGCATCTCTGCGGCGGCGGAAGGCCAGGAATTCCTCCCGAAGGGCAGCACAACGGGCCTCAGGACCACTAGCATGGCCAGTGTTCAGGAGACAGCCCTCCTCTGGAGTCTTCGCACCTGGAGAGGAGGGCAGGACAATGAGAGAAGCCTTGAGGTTCTCTGGGTGAAATGCTCAGACGTGAAGCACCCTAGGGCCTTCAGAACGGGGACCAAGCGAGTAAGACTCAGTCTAGAGTGGAGGAGCCTGGGGTGAAGGGCCTGACTGAGAACAGACGGGTCCTCAGGTGGCAGTGGGGATGCAGGACAGCGCTTCCAGGAGTGCCTGCCTCTCTGGAGGGCTCACACACCTAGCTCTGGCTCAGCTTCAGGTCGGAGCCGGGAGCTGGCCAAGCCCAGGTGCAAAGTCTCCAGCAATTCCATGTCCCCAGGGAATTCTGAGTCCCATTCATAGTTCTCATCCACAGATGTGTTCCTCCTGTTAAGAGTGACAAACGTGTGGTGTGGGTGGAGGAAAAGAGTGTGTTCAGAAAAGTCTGAACCTGGGGTCCCCAAACTGAGATTGGCCCATGGGTTTGCCCTGGAAATCCCTGGTCCTCAGCAAAAGCTTCTAAAAGGAGACAAGGTCTTCTGTTCTCAGGGTGCACGTGGAGCAGAGAAGGTGCAGGGTATTGGGGCAGGGGTGGGGACAAGATCTGGGATGACAGGGCAGAACCGGGGCCAGGGCAGGGATGGGCAAGGTCTGCCCTCACCTCTTGCTGACTGTCACCACATGCTCCCTTCGGGGCCACCTCTCAGGGCCACTGGCCCAGCTGCTGGTGTCTCCTGGAACAGGGCTGAGGTAGCTGCCTCCTGCAGAAGGGGCTGTGGACGGGGGCCGCAGGAACGAAGCACTGCCCCGCCCACTGCTCTGGCTTGTAAGGCTGCCGCGAGGGGCGGCAGGGAGCAGGCCTGACAGCAGCCGCTCCCTCAGTGTCCAGTCAGCCAGGGCTGTGTAAGGGGGCTCTGGGGCGGCCCCAGCCCCTACCACAGCCCCAGGAAGTGCTGCCCTGATGGATACAGGTGGCGAGTCTGGGGGCCGAAGGAAAGATGAGGTGGGGCAGGGTCGGGTATCCATGTAATCTGGAGGTGCAGCAGGGCCAGGCTCCTCAAGTGGGGGCCAGTCCTCATCCACATTCATCTCCCGGAAGAAGGGCAGGCTCAGGTATTGGAGCAGGGGTCCGGGACCTGGCAGGGGACTGGGCGGGGCTGCTGGAGGGGGCCCCACAGGGCTGATGTCTGCAATGCAGAGGGGCTGGGGTGCCCCACTGGGGCTGCTGCTGCTGCAGTCAAAGGACCGGGCCAGATGCCGGGCTGGAGTCCGAGGTTCTGCCTGCTCTAGGCCTGCCCTTTCTTGAGGGGCCCCCACCGTGGGTCCCATCACAAAGCGCCCATCTGGGCCCCGACAAATGGTCTCCAGAGGTAAAGGTCCCCGGACAGGTGGAGGATCTGGATGGGGGCTGGGGGGTCCAGCAGGCTCCCCCCAGAGCAAACTCTGGCGCAGGCTCGGGGCTGGGGAACCCTGGAGCTTCAGCTTCACCACGCTGTCAGGACTGTCTGAGCCCGGCGCAGAGCTGGAAGGACAGAAGATCAGGGTCTGTGGTAGGGAGCCAGTCCCCCTCCCAGGAGCCAGCGTCAGGCCTGAGAGGTTTGGTGCACAACAGGGCAGGGCTAGGGTGCAAGCGAGCAAAGGACCAACGTGGTAGAAGCGGTGGAGGGAAGGTACGGGCAACACTGGACCGGCCCCCAGGCTGGGGCCTCTGCACTCCTCTTCTTACCCCATTCCAACTTCAGTTCCTGCTCCTCCCACCCCTCCTGAAGGTGCAGAAAAGGAAGCAGAGGATACTGGCACGCACAATGGAAAGGCAGAAGCCAAGGAGGGGGAGGTGCTTACTGTGAAGCTGACTTCCGGGGAGGAGAAAAGAGCAGAGGTGGATCTGTAAGGGCATGAGAACAGGCGGTGACACAGGAGAAACCCAAGATCCTCCAGGGCCCGAGTGCTGACCCTCTCACCCAACACCAGGCTGGGGAAAGCGTAGGCAAGACCAGATGCAGGACTATGGGAATGCACCTGGACCACGCGGGTGGGAAGGATGTTCCCTCGAGGTGAGGCGGGCGGGGAGGGTTATGGGGACGCGCACTTCCAGTGGACCGGGCCCCCAGTGCTCAGGTGGAAGGGACGAAGGCAGAAGGGACTACCTTGACGGAGGCGTTTGCGTCGGCGGCGGGCAGCCCTGCGCCGGTTCATGAGGCAGGCGGCCAGGATGCTCACGAGGACGGCCACGCCCAGGAAGCAGACCCCGCCCACCACGCCAGCCAGCACGGGCTGGGGCAGAAGGCCGGGCAGCTGTGTGCGCGACGGGTAGACCTCCAGGCCTGGGCAAGGGCGGTGCGGGAGGGTCAGTGGGCTCGGAGCCCTCGCAATCCCCCGCGCTCTTACCGCCCGCCAGGTTCTCACCGGAAGTGGAGACGTTGGCCGTGTTGCTGGGGTCGCTGACATAGCTACCGGCAAAGGCCACAAGGCGGAACTCGTAGAGAACATCCTGCAGGTTGGGGACGGGGTGCCAGGAAGCAACTCAGGGCCCACACCTTCCAGCCCAGCCCCATTCGAGAGGACTTTGCAGGTGGGACAAAAGGGTGAGGTAGGACGCGGGAGGTGAAGATAGTCAAATTAGGATGGGAAGGTGGGGTCGAGGAACGGAGGAGGA